GGTTTCACCAAGTTGCCCAGGCGGGTCTCGAACCCACGGGTTCAGGCAATCCACTACCTCGGCCTCCCAAGGCACGGGATTACAGGCTGAGCCACCAAACCTGGCTAAAAAACAGTACTTAAATAACCTACAGCCGGCACGGTAGCTCCCGCCTATAATCCCAGCACTTTGGGAGGTGGAGGTGAGAGGAATGCCTGAGTCCAGGGCTTCGAGACTAGCCAGGGCAACTTAGTGAGACCTCGTCTCTACAATAAATAAACCAGCCGAGTGTGTGGCGCATGCCTGTGATTCCAGCTACCTTGAAGGCTGAGGCAGAAGGATCACCTGAGTCCAGCAGGTCGAGGCTGTGGTGGCCATGAGCATGCCACTGCACTCCAGCCTGGGCAACAGAGTGAGACTCCAACTATCTATCAGTCCATCAAGCAACAAACAAACAAACAAACAGTCTACAAGGGTCAGGATCAGAGTTAATGGGGCAGCCCTAAGGGCTAAGGAATCCACACTTCACATCTGCAACCCACTGGGAAGCTGATGCCATGAACTGCTCTAGGTGCAACAGGAAACAGTTACAGGAAAGCCACCCCCTCAACCTTCACGGCCTATTAGAAAGCACAGGTTCTGCTCTATCTCCTTCCTCCCCCTCCTCACCACGGCACTCACCCTTGGTTCTTCAGGAGAGCAGCCAAGTGACTGGTCTTATTGCCGGGGGCAGCACACGCATCAATGACATGGGAGCCTGGTGGAGGAGCCAGCAGCATGGCTGGAAGACAGCTGGCCTGGCAGGGTGGAGCACAGCGGCCGGGTGAACGAAGGCCCCTGGCTGAGCCCTCTCCCACACATTCTGCCCTCTTGCACCGTCTTCCCTACCTTGTCTTGTAGAATGAGGTGACCGGCTTGGTACAGCGGGTGTTCGTGCAGATCTGTCTGAGCAGGAAACACGAGCAGCTCTGGCAACAAGGGATCCAGAAGAAAATGCTTCCCCTTGAGGGCCCTCAAGTCATCGAGGCTGCCGGGGAGGTTAGGACCAGGGAATAAGAAGCATTCATTCATTTTCTGAATTTCCCCACACCAGGCCCCATATTGACTCTTCATTCATGCAACGAATATTTTAAATGGCTGTGAAGAAATAAACAGGGGATAAGATGGGGCAGCAGAAGCCGCAGTTCACAGAATCGGTTCTCAAGCAAGACAAACAGGGTTGAGGATCTCGTCTCAACCACTGTCCAGCAGCGGGAGCGTGGGCAAGCGCTTTAATCTCAAGCTCTGATTTGCACTTTTGTAAAATGGTAGGTGAAGTTAAGTTAAATGAGTTATTACATCCAAAATATCTGGTGCAAATTAAGTACCCGATAAATGTGATTCATTACTTTAACAGTAATGAAGCATAGCCTGGGGGAAGACTACAGGGGGATAAGGGAGTACAGGGGAGGTAGGAGCTGAATTGATTCCTGATGGATGAGGTAACATGAGGTACCTGGTTAAAACAACACTCACTCTAACGCCACAAAGGAGTACTGTCCACTTGACTGATGCAAAAACAGGCCTAGAGTCACATTATCTCAGTACGGAAATACATCAAAGTAGCAGAGCTGGGGATTCAAGCCCAAACAAAGTCATCCTCTACTATTCCACCCTGGCCTCCAAGCAACATGCTAGAGACAAGAGGAAGGACATCTAAAACAGGGCAAGGAGAGAGCAGAGGCAGCGTCTCAGAGCTGTCAAAAGACAAAACCAGACTACTGTCTGTGTAGACTTCTATGGAAACACACTTGGGGAAAAAAGACAAAACCGGAGGGAGGTGTGAGCCCAGTGAAGGGGTGGGGGAAGTATCAGGGCAGGGACCAGTAACTGCTTCTAGAACTCCCAGTTCAGGTAGCGCCTCGGCAGATGGGAATCGAGAGGACGCAGGAGGCCTAGCACAATGGAGAGCCAAGAAGGGTTTCAGCAGGGTAGTAACACATCAGCTCTGAGTTTAGATCTTTCTGCAGCCACAGGAGGAAAACACAGAAAAACTTCAGAGAGACAAAGGTAAAACAGCAAATGCCTGGAGGGAGAGGAAGCAAGCAGCTGGGATGACTCTGGCTTGACCAAATGGGTGGAAGATGGTGGCATCTGTTAGGTGAAAACAGGGGATCCACCAGGCGTCGGGTTTGAGAGGGAAGGTGGTGGCCATGCAGTGACTGCAGTACCTGTGGAGCATTCAAATGAGCCCAAGGAGAAAGGAATACAAGAAGTTTACACTGGGAGACACGAATCACCAGGTGGGAGGGAGGAGTCAAAGCAGAGGAAAAACTGAGGGGTACATCAGAAGAATGCAGGATGGGATGCCCAGGAGTATCAATGCTTAAGGGATGGGAGGAAAACAGGCACTGGAAGGAGTTGGAGAAACTGCCGGAGAAGTCGGAAGAAAACAGAGTGCAGTAACCACCACCCAGTCTCTGCTTCCCCGAGCCCCCAGACACCTCCCTAGATGAGGGCACCCAGACAGAGTGGCACGCTCTTACCCGGAGGCCCGGCCCTGGTAAGAGAAACCCTGTCTCTTGAAATAATCGACTACATCGTCAGCGCAGGTCTTGAGAGTGTTGATGCGCACAAACCGAGGCACTTGAGAGGCTGGGAAACAATCGGCAGTGAGTGGCACAGCCCTCTCCTCTGAGGCCCCCGTGGCTCTCCCCACCCCGGGCCCCTCCCAGTTCACCTGGCCCAGGCCTGGATCCCACTTCCAGCAGGTCCTCATTCCGGCTCACACCCCGCTGAACCTTGAGCCGGGCCAACTCCGCCTTGAGCCGCGCCTGGTGCCGGCCCAGCAAAGGCTTCCATCGGCCCCCACCCCCTCGAAAGCCCTTTCCCAGCAACAAGTCATACACGAGCACCTAGGGATGAGGAAGCAGACAACAAAAAGCCCCACGCGTTAATGCCTTGGAACTGCTTTATAAAGGGCTGTACCCTTTATAAAGGGCTACACAGACCACCTGTCCAGGCCGTTACAGATAAAGGTGGGGCACCTTATCCAAGATCACCCTAGAAGTGAACAGCAGGTAACAGAATTGGAAACTGGATGCTCGCGAGCAGAGCTCTGCATCACGACCCCCACCCCCCGCCCTCCCACGTGACCTTTTCGTTTCCTTTCCTTCGAGATTTTTAATTTGATTTACGTATGTGTTTGCTTTAGTGAGGAAGCAGGGTTTACTGCGAGGAGAGAGAGGCTCCCCCAGCGGAAGGGGACCCGAAGGGGCCGCCCCCCTTTTCGTCTCCTCAGAAAGTCCCTGCCGCGGCTACTTGCAGTACTTGGGCTGGCAGCTAACCCTTCACACGACGCCTGACGGCAAAGCCTTTTCATCCCCCCTCAACTCGTAACCGGGGAGGAGGCTCGCTCAAGCTGGTTTCGGACGAGCGACCGGCCCCGCTCCCGCCCGCCACGGCAGCAGAGCCGGGCCCAGGTCAGACCTCCGACCCTCGGGGCTCGCCCCTGGCCTCTCCCCGCGCCCCCGTCACCTTCGCCAGGTGCGGCCGCAGCTTCTTCTCGGCGCGGAGGAGGCCGGCGCTGGCGATCACGGCGTCCAGCACCGCGGAGTAGCGCTGCGTCTCGCACACCAGCGCGTACAGCTGCTTCACGTTCTGCGAGGCGGAGGGGAGAC